CGCCGGCTCCGGAGGCGGCTCCCGGCGCCGTGGAGATCGCCGACTTCGAGCGGGTGCGTTTCCGCAAGGGCTCCCCGGCGCCGGCCGCCCGCTGACGCCGCCGCTCCCGTGCGCTCCGGGTCCCTGCGTCCCGGTGTCTTCCCGCCGTGGCCGCGTATGGAGCCGCTCCGGCTGCTTCCCGCTGAGGCTGCATGCGGAGCCGCTCCGGCTGCTTCCCGCCGTGGCCGCGTATGGAGCCGCTCCGGCCGCTTCCCGCCGCAGCCGCGTGCGGAGCCGCTGCCGCTCCCCGGCTCTGTCCCCTGGCCGCTATTAAACTGCTCCYTCCCGCCGCGCGGGGCCTCGTCTCTCCGTGCGGCTCGGAGCGGAGCGGGGCGCGAGCGGGACCCGCCGGGATCATTCCCGAGGGCGGCTCCGGCGGGCGAGCGGGCGGCAGGGTCTGCGCTTTGGTGCCATGCGGGCTCAGGGGGCTCGGGATCGTTCCGGTGTCACCCTGCATGGGATCGCTCCGGCATCGCGCTGCATGCTCGGGATCGCTCCGGCRTCACTTTGCGCTCCGGGTGGCTCCCACATGCTTGGGATCGCTCCGGCATCACATGGCGCGCTTGGGACCACTCTGGCATCACGCTGCATGCTCGGGATCGCTCCGGCATCACTGCGCGCTCCGGGCGGCTCCCGCACCCTCGGCATCGCTCCGGGCGGCTCCCGCACCCTCGGCGTCGCTCCGGTTTCACCCCGCGCCGCTCTCTGTGCCTCTCGTCCCGCAGGCCGCCGCAGCGCCCTGAGGAGCCGCCGCAGCCGCGACGCCGGCAGCTCCGCACGCGCCGCGAGCCGGGCACGGCGGGAGCCTCCCGCCCGCTTCCCAGCGCCCTCGGGAATGCCGGGGGGGGCCCTGGTCCGCTCTGCACCCCGCGGGCACCGGAGGGACCCCCCCTCGTGTCCCGCAGGCGACAGGGGGTCCGTGTGGGTCACACACTAAGGGGGCGGCCGCGGTCCTGTCCCCCGTGTCCCCCTGGGGGCACCGGGCGCCCGGGGGGGTCGCTGGCGCCGGGGGCTCCGTAAAATAAACCTGGGAACGGCCACGGCGCTCGCCTGCTCGCTGGGGTCCCACCGCCCGCCCGCGCGGCACCGCCGGAGGCGACGGCGCCCGCCGGCGTCTGCCAGGGATTGGGGAGCGGAGCGGCCGGAGCGGAGCTGAGGGGAGCGGGGAATGGAGCAGGGAGCGGAGCGGGGAGCGGAGCGGGGAACGGAGCGGGGAGCGGAGCGGCCGGAGCAGGGAGCGGAGCTGGGGGGAGCAGGGAATGGAGCAGGGAGCGGAGCTGGGGGGAGTGGGGAGCGGAGCAGGGAGCAGGGAACGGAGCGGGGAGCGGAGCGGGAAATGGAGACGGCCGGAGTGCACGGGGAGCGGCCGCCGCCAGAACCTGCTTCATCTGCAGGTGCTCGCCGCGCTCCTTGTCGCACTCTTCCTCGCCGTGCTCTTCTTCGCCGCGCTCATCCTCGCTGCGCTCTTCCTCACCACGCTCCTCCTCACCGCACTCTTCCTCACCGCGCTCCTTGTCGCGCTCCTCCTCGCCGCGCTCCTTGTCGCACTCTTCCTCACCACGCTCCTCCTCGCCGCACTCTTCCTCACCGCGCTCCTTGTCGCACTCTTCCTCGCTGCGCTCCTCCTCGCCGCACTCTTCCTCACCGCACTCTTCCTCACCGCACTCCTCCTCACCATGCTCCTCGCCGCGCTCTTCCTCACCGCGCTCCTTGCCACACTCTTCCTCACCACACTCTTCCTCGCCGCGCTCCTCCCCTG